AATAGTTTAATTTTTGGAAAATATTTCCAACTTTAATAATTGTTTTACTACCACTTAGTAAAATCTTTTTTTAACGACCGTGCTAGTTAGCAGGAATGTGTATGAAAGAAAAGAAAAATAATAACAAGCGGTAATTTACAGGATGTGCGTTTATTCAGTTTCATTGTTCATTTTTATATAGTAATTTAAATCAATTAATGGCTATGAAAAACGTGTTTTTTTTTAATTTTCTTCGTATTAAAAATGGCATGAAGCCTCATTATTTTTTTTCTTCCACAATCATACGTTAACAATTACAGTTGGAATTCTAATAAAAATATCTTCCTTTTTTGTTCATTTTCATTGAGAACAATCGTTATTTCTTATCTGATGTGAAGTGAGAATTTGCCAAAGGGCTTAATGTTTATAATTTGTCTAATGACTTATGTCTGCTTTTATTTTTAGATATGATAAAAGGGATTGTGACAGAATTTTACTCATTCATATTGAACTGTTAGTCATGAAATTTATGATACGCAGGGCTCTTCTAACCCTGGCTATTAAAATTAATCAAAAGTTATCACGTGATTGTATCCTGTGTTAGAGCAATTAATCTTGATTTTTGCGGACTTCTATTTCTTGCGCAAGGTTGCCACGGGCGACTAGAAATATAATAAGTGGTGACTCATAAAATTCAAAATTTTGTTTTAAAAAAATTAATATCAGCAACTTTTTTAAGCATATTTTTTCAGTTTGCTGTTAAAAGTGAAATGTTTTGCTTTAAATATGAAGAACTGGAAATGTAAGTCATTGTGATAATTAAAATTGAATAATTAAAGAGATAATGAATAAATTAAGTTTCTACCACTTTTTACATTTTTAGTTGCTTATGGCATCCCTGCTTATGAAACAAGCTACAAATGATAAGTTATCCTACCACTTTTTTCTTTTTTCCTGGGTACTGATAGCCATGTATACAATAAATTTTAATCTTTCAAAAAGTGCAACTAGAAGACTTTTATATTTTTTAACCCTTTGACGAATTTTTATTAATCATATTTTTTACACTATTTCCACGATTTTGTATTAATTTAGGTCAAAATGAGTGAAGAATATTATAGTTAAGAGTTTAATAACTTATGGTTATGAAATACAGGGCTGAAAGCCTATATATAGCGAGACGGAAAAGAGCAAAAACTGGTACGAAAGGCATTTCATTATAGCATTTTGTTCAAGAAACATTAAATTTCTGTAACTACCGTAATTTTTTACAGTTTTAGCATATATAACAAAAATCTTCTTTCTTTATAGAAAAGTAGATATCGCTGAATAATTGATAAAGAGCTGAGTTTAACTCCTCCCGAAAACATGTTAAAACTGAAATGGGTTTACTACCAGCTTTTCCTCTTTTCCGTCTCGCTTTCACCCATGATGAAATATAGCGCTTTATTTCTGCGTTAATTTTTCAAATTTAGATTTGTTTGAAACAGTTATTAATTATAAATTTTTTTTTTCAATTTACAAAATCAATTATTGATAATTTTTTTAAATTTGAATAAAACACAAAATTCAAACTATTTTTTTTTATTTATTTATTTTTTTTTTTGATTTTATATTTTATACAAATAAAACTCCGATAATCTAAACAGATTTTTTTTCGTAACTATTGGATGGTTTTTTTTAGAATTAAAAAATACCGAAATATAATTATGCTTGTAGTTAGAAGAAAAGTATGAAATCGGAAAAAAAATATATAAAAAGGACATCGTTGTTCCCACCTGCGTTAAATGATTAAAAAAAGAAAAATCTTTGAATGAAAAATCGATAGTAAAAAAGGCATAAGGATTCAATAAAATAAAATAAATTAAATATTTTTTTAAAAAAAATTTAAAATTATTTCTATTTATGTATTAGTTTTATAAAATATATTTTTAATAACCGCTTGTTTACGCATAACCTTATAACTTACTGCCTTAAAAAATGGAACTTTATGAAGAAAAAAAATAATGAGTTTGTAGCGTATCTACCACTACAAAATTACAACTACAATTCACTAGTATATAAGACATGTTAACTCGACTCTATGTCGGGGTACCTTTTCATAGATGAAAGTTGACATGGTCTGTAACTACTAGCCCCACAAGTTCATCGTTCGTATAAAGCTAAAAGTAGCTTCGAGAAGAAGTGAAAAATAAATAAACGGATGGGGAGATTAAAAGTTATTTAATGATGAGCTTGTTTATGTTGTCTGTCAACTCTTGAGCCCTATCAGCTGGTGCTCCATGTGAACTTTCTAACATTATACCGTTCGTTTATTTTCGTACGCGCCGTAAATATTCCCAACACAACACCCATTTCATTTCGCATATCTTGACGGTATGCGGTACTTCATTAAAAGAACTAAGTAGGCCTAATGAAGCGTGTTAAACATTGCAAAAAGTGAAAAAAAATTTAAGAGGTAATTTAGCTATATTGAAAATTCCTAATTTAAGTTTAGATTTTTGTTTAGATTTGTTAGTTTTTTTATTTAGGTATTTTTTCATTGTATTACTGTCTTTAATCTGGTGACCCGATTTTGGGTTTATGACTACTAATGTTCAACTCCATAGCCTTGTATTTTTAAACCCAATCCAGAAGACAAGGGAACTTCTGTATCAAGTATTTTATTTTATAACCGTCGTTGAACAGCCAAAACTATTTTTTGTATTTACGACTGCTGATGTACAACTCTGTAGCTTTATACGTTTGAGTCCTATCCGGAAGACAAGGGAACTCCTCCATGAAGTATTGAGAGAAATTCGCTTTCGTGGGGGACATTTTGATGAAGCTAACCCGCATTTGCGTTACATGGAAAAGAAAACCACGAAAACCTCCCACGGTTAGCCTGATGGCAAGGGGACTCTAACCCATGAACCATAGTGTTCCCATGATCCGTAACCCGTGATCCAGAGTGCTGACTTAAAATATCCTCAGTGGTAGCACTGAGGATATTTTACGTCAGCACTGTGGTCGGTGCAAACCAGATGCGGAATTCGTATTGACCAGCCATCGCTGGATTCGAAACCGGTTCACCTCATTGGCAGGAGAGCGCTCTATCTCCTGAGCCACTACGACTCAATTTTAGGTTTGTTAGGTTATTAGGTTTTATTTATCAAAAACTTAATTAGAAAACTAAAACGAATCCTCAAAAAACTTAAAAAAATAATAGCTCAGAAAAAAATCCTCTGCAGTTAATGAAAATGGGACAGTATTTGTAAAATTAATGAAAGTGCTTTTTGTTACATATGTAATCTTTCTTAAACGCACTACATTTTTATTTTCAAACATAATTTTTTATTCTTAATAAATATAAAAATTAATAGTTTTAGAATAAATATCTAGTTCATAAAGTGTTTTTTATTACTGCTTTCCTGAGTGCTATCGAGTCGAATTGTTTTTTATTTTATTTTAGGTACTCAAATTTTTGATTCCGATATTCTCTGAAATTATTAAATTCACTTTTATTATTTAATTATTATTAATAATAAAAGTGAATTATTAAATTTTTTTTTAACTGAATTCATCTGATTTAATTCATTTTTGAATGATTCTAACTAAATTTTCCTGATTTAGTTAACTTTTAAATGTACTGATTTTTTAAAATTTTTAAATGTTTCACAGTTTTATCCATTTCATGCGTTTTATGAAACTAAATTTGTAATCCCTGTAAGTGGTCGTGTATTTTAAGTTGGTAATTACATAAATTTATGGTTTCAGCTTTTAGCTCGCGCGTCTGACACAGCATGGCCTATTTCGTATCATTTAACCCTACATTTTATTCTGTTCGGTCAAGTGGTACTAACTTTCTACGGTTTAAATTTTAGGCTGTATTAAACTATTTAGTTTCGGATAATAAATTTTAAAATTATTTTTCTGCAAGATTTCGCAATTATCATTTTTATTGACACGTTCACACCAGGAAAAGTGAAAATACTGGTACGGAAAAAGAGAAAATACTGGTAGAAAAACTATTTCAATATTAGATAATATTCGGGAGGAGTTAATCTATTCTCAACAATAACGCATTAGAACAAAAATATGTAATAAACAGAATTATCGTATTTATTCGAAATAAATATAAAAAATGGCGATTTTATTCTACTACTTATTTAATTTTTGAAGGGAAAAAAATGACTTGCTCTCTTTAGAAGTATCTATAGTAACCAATAAGTTTAACATTACTCATTAACTCCTCAACTGAAAAACTCCACACGGTTTTTTAGCGGTAGTTCAATCACAACCCTATAAAGGTAGACCAGTTAGCGAAAGAACCATTTAATACAAAATCTAGTAAAAATACGAAAGTGGTAGCAAATATATATGTCTAAAAATTATCTTATTTTATCTATGAATATGATTGGTTTGTCTTATTCACTTGTCAACCACTACAGATTCAATTCTCAAATATGTATGTTAAATTTCTCTCAATTACATTTAAAATAGATTTGGAATTTATGCGCACAATTGGGTCACTTTTTACATATACTGCGCAGACTACTTAAAAAAAAAAACCCTGTGGATTCAAGACGGAAAAGTGGAAGGGCTGGTAGTAATACCATTTCAGTTATAGCTAGTTTTCGGGAAGGGACTTAACTTATTCTTTTTTTTTTTGTTCAAACTATTCAACAATATCTAATTTATCTCGGAAAAGAAGCAGTTTTATATAGCTGCTAAAATCATAAAAGAAATCTTGATAGTTAGAGATAATTTATTTTTCTCGAAAAAAAAAATATATGCTAGAATGAAATGTCTTTGGTACCAGTTTTTGCTCTTGCTATATAAGGGATTTCAGCCATGAGACATATTCTCGAGAGCTCTTAAATATTCCATTAATAAAAAAAGAAACCAAGCACTTAAACGAATTACGCTAGTTATTCTATGCAGAACCTAGGTAATTTACAGATTACCTAAGTAACTTTTTATCGAACTTCCGCGGTAACAGTTATGTAATATAACTAATTTATTTTCGTCCTTCATTTCAGAAGGTGGTGAACAATCAGGTATCTGTGATATCTTCTTGATTGCGGTATCTTATTTGCTTTTTTTCTGCACACTGCCATTCTCCTTGTTCTACTGTTTCAAGGTAAAGAGAAACTTGTTTTATTTATTTATCAGAATCGTTAGTGTTTTCTTTTTTATCAGTACTATTTTGAAAAATCAATGCGAACTTTTTTTTGTGTGTATACAATAGCTTTAAAAGAGTTAACTATAAAATAAAAACGTATTATACATAGAAAGAGAGCGTTGTAGATTAGATTGATAGAACTACTATTTATAAAAAGTAACATTAACAAATTGGTCCTTAACGTTTTAAAGAAAATACTTAGTAACAAAAAAGAAAGATCAATGTAGTTTAATTCGTTTCATAATATATAATATATGAATGCGTAGAAAATTGTATTGATTGAATTATTTATTTCATAAGAATAATAAATTGATCCGCAACGTGTTAGTAAAATGACTCAGTAAAATATGTAACAAAAATAAATATTAATGCAGTTTAATCCGCTTTATTGCTAAGGTTTACTTTACAAAGATAGAAAAATAAGTAATATTCAGAGTATTTTCCTCCAACATTTGCTTTAATTTTTTGCTTCCTGGCAATAAACAAAGCATTTAAATTTTAAAGCATTCAATTAAATGAATCAATGTAGTTTTATTTGTTTCATAACAATGCAAATGCGTAGAAAATTATATTGCTTGAATTATATACTTAATAAGAATAATAAATTGATCCACAACGTGATAGTAAAATGACTCGGTGAAATATGAAACAGAAATAAATATTAGTGCAGTTTAATCCGTAACATAATTATAACAAATTCCGTAATTATAAAAAATTTTTACTTTACAATAAAGGTAGAAAAATAGGTAATAATAGGTTCGGGGTTTTTGCCACAACGTTTGCTTTAATTTGTCTTGTTTCTTAACAATAAACAATGAGTTTCATCTAAGCTTTAAAGCATTCAATTAAATGATCCAAATGTTTTTATTGTTTTAACAAAAATTTGGTTTTACTGATTTAGTGGCCGAATCGTTTTTGGGATAAAATTTAAAACTAATTATTTTGCTCAAAAGGCTTTTCAACTTTTAATCAACTCACATGAAATGGCGTGGAAAATAACTTAAAATCAAAGCTCCTAAGCAAAGAATTATATTTTAAAACCAGACTTTTTCAGAGGAAATATTTCCAAAATGGTTGTAAGAGACTAATTGAAATGCAATTGTAGATAAAATTAACTTTTTACAGTTTTTATGACTTACACTCATTTTTATCTCAATGAATTTGCTTATGCTCTTATACATAAGTTTGATTTACGTGCATTTTAAGATGGTCAAAATCATTCAAATTGAATTTATAAATCCAAGAATTATCTAGAAATTTATAATATTCATTACCACTTATAATATAAAAAATTAAATACTACGGACAATCCTTGACAACTGGGACACTCCAGAGACTCCTGAATTCAAACTTGTCTGTAATAATTTCGCGATGAATGGTCTTCTGCGCGGTCCAGCTTTTGTTAACAAGTTGGACGCCACGCTAATTTTACATGTTTTGCCCGTCAGGCCACATGGTAAATAACTACAAACTAAATTTGCAAATATGGACAGATTTTGTTGGTTTATAAAAGGTTTAGCATGACATATGTGAAAAAAGTGGTGAATGCCTACGAATTGTTTAATAATAGTGTAGGATAAAAATCTACTAAATTGAATTTATTAAACCAAGAATCACAATAATTAAGTAAATTTTGAATAAATTTTCTGCAATTCCATAAAAAATTTCATAGTTCTATATCAAGTTATACGCTGTCAGCCAGCTGTTTTTCGCAGCCTATGTGAAAGGTCAGTGTCAGCAAGCGGTGGCATTTGTAATTCTAAATGTAATTTCAGTGTCCGGTGGTTGACGCGGCCTAAATTTAATTTCAGTGTCCGGTGGTTGACGCGACCTAAATGGAAAGTTCAGTGTCAGCCATCGATGACTGACGCGGCGCTTAACGTGTTAAATAAAGTAAAGTGACAGCTACCACAGAGACCTCAATGAACTCATACATGATCATAGGAATAGGGGACACTTCTTGGCGTCCAGATCGAAATACAAGTCAAGTCAAGACAACTTCTGTCCTATTTAATTTAAACAAGCTGACGAGTGTATATTACAGTGAATGACTGGCGGTTGTTGGCTTCCACTGGTGAATGCTGACTATCTCAGAGTCGCTTTGGTTAATGTCAGAAATATATACTAGGTCTAGTTATGTGCCACTGCCCGGTATGCCCTACATCAATGTTTTTTTAAGGTCAAGTGCCACTGCCCAGTATGCCCGATATTCCGAACACAGTTGTTTATCCCATTCTATCCTCAGCATATATTAAAATATGGAAAAAATGAAATTATATCAACGAATAAATTGGTATCAAATCAGATATAACAAATATTTCGGACATTCACCAATGTGATTGTTGACATTCACCGGTGAAAGTCGACATTCTCTTGATTTCTGTCATTCACGGTGACATATTTATAGTCTATACTAAGCTTGTACATTCAGACAAAACATAAACAAATCCGAAAATACCATTCGAAAAAAATTCAGATTTCAAAACTAAACTTATTTCAGATTTGAAATCCCTAAACCCCAACTAGATAACATCAAGCGCTTAGAAAAAATGCATCCAAAAATTTGGTCCCCGATATTATTCTTCATCTCTTACAGGGAGGACACGAACGAGTAAAAGCGTAATAAGTGCTAGAAAATTAATTCACTTTTCTTTATTTGTTATTGATTCGTAACTACTAGTTTGACTTACATCTCGTTCATATTTAAAACACAAACTTTTTAACCATTCTCTTTCAGTTGTAAATTGAAAAAATTACAATAAAACAATTTTAATATTACAATTTTAAATCTGTAAATAAAAGTTTGAATTTAATTAGTCACCACTATTTGCATTTTTAGTCGCACGTGGCAACCCATCACACGTATTAAAAAAAAAAAAAACGCTGTATAGGGTTATGACGTATACGAATCATACTCCGGGCTTGCCACGGGCGACAAAAAAGCCAAAAGTGGTAATTAATAAAATTCAAATTTTTAATAAAAGAGTTTAATATTTGAGACTTTTCAATTCAGTTTTTTTTTCTTTAGTTTCTAGTGGGAACTGGAACTACATTGATTTTTGGGGCACCTACACAATTGTGTTTATCCCCAGTATAAAAGTTGTTGTGCCTGATGAGCTAAGTTTTCTTCAGGTGGAAAAAATTTTACATGAAGTGATGAAAAAATATCTAAGTAGGCTTAGGGAGAACTTGAAGAAGATCTAAAAGTTGATAAAAAAAAAAAAAAAAAAAAAANAAAAAAAAAAAACACAAAAAAAAAAAAAAAAAGGGGGGGGGGATTAGTTCCGAGATCCTATCGCCCTGCTGGCCTGTGGAAAGTCATGGAGATATCACTAGAGTCCATATTTCCTGGGGGTCAATNGCTAACTATAATAATGTTGTTTAAAATAAAATAAAAGTTAGCTAGCCGTTGGTTTTAATTCCCCCCTAAGCACCACACGTCACACAACTATTAAAAGTATGTTATTTTGGGCTCTATTTAAGGACCTAATTTTAAATCACGAATCAGTCTTCCTTTTCAATAAAAGTTTTGTGTTTAGTCATTAAAGTGACAAATTGTTAAAAAACGCAACTCAAATGCTCTGTGTAAAAATATTATTCTAATCCTCTTAAGAAGACGTGAGACTGATTGACAGTTTATTATAAGATACCAAATATTTCACATCTGATATTTTTGAAATATTTAGGTGTCGTCGTGGGTAAAATAATTTTTGACTGTTTGTGGTTGGTCCAATGACTCTGGGAAGCAAATACATTTTTTTTCTGTTGCATCAGATTTTCAAACGAATGCTTGATATTTTCGCGTCACTGATTTAAAACCTATAATTGGTTTTATTCTACAAGTAAATACGTATGACATAGTAGGATGGAGGTGATAATAAATTTTAGTTTATGATCTGATACGTCAAGATCATATGTTTTTGTCTTAAGGGAGCGGACAGGTGTTTATGTGTGTGTATAAAATTTAGTAAATTAAGTGCTAGTAAACTAAAATTACCATACTTAAATATATTTGCAACTTTTCTAACAAAGCTAGTTTCATATTTGAAATCCTCGCACCTCAAATGCTAGTAAAATGAAACTAAGAATTTGTTCCCAAATGTAGTTTTTTTTTCTTCAATTTTTTTCCAGGTGTTTGTTTCTTTTGGTTCTACTAAAAAAATCTAAACCAACTTGAAAGTTTGAAGAATATATCTTACTAGTATATTCTAGATATGTTTAAATTATCAGAATAATAATTATGATAGGTTATTTTATTTTAGCTCTTTAAAATCACATAATTTGATTGTTCCATTAGTTACACATAGAAAAAAGCACATTCAAATTCTGAGTTTTTATTTAATATTTTTTCGCAACTGTTGTTATCATTCGTTTATAACATGATAATGAAATATCGTCAACTGGTTGATAATAGCATGTAGAATTTTTAATAATGTAAGTTCAAAACACACTAAAGTACTTAGAAAGAAAAGAATTATTTTTTGTTCTTTTCTTAATGGTCTTTTTCTATCCTCATAAATATTTTATCACCACTACATATAAATGATTTAAAAGTTCACATGCAACGTCACTTTCATCCATATCTATAGCGGTGAGGCTTTTAAAATGTTGTCAAAATTACCGAAGTTCTGAAAGATTTGATTCTTAAATGCCTACTACTCTATAAAATATTTTGCAAAAAGCATAGTAGTTGGACGGACTGTATAAGAATAATAATTTTGCTAATATTTGATTTGCGTGAGATCTAATGAGTGTTTTTTTGTCAACAACTAATCAATAAATAAATTATTTCTTGTACTGTTAATGTTTTTCACACAAATCTAATTTCCGTAAGGAACTCGCAAACAAACATTTAAATGTAAATGAGATTCAAATAAATTCGTGATTTTCATAATGATAATGTATTGTGTTTTGTTTTTCCTTTTCATTCAGGTTGTACAAGAATATGAACGAGCTGTAATATTTAGATTGGGTCGCTTGTCAAAAGGTGGCGCCAGGGGACCTGGTATGTTTCACATTTCAACCTAACTAATCTTTTATTTACCGAATTTCTCAGCTTAACTTTAAAGAAGTTAATACTTTAAAATTATGTGAAGATGAACAAATAACAATTTAGCAGGTTTCAGTGTTGTCCTGAGTTCAGAATTGGGTACTTGCACTTCAAGAAAAGCAAGAATGCCCACACATGTGACCTATGACGTCAGAGCCAACCGATCGCTTATAAGCAAAATGGCGCGTTAAAGTTGAGCTAAGTTTCTCCACAGAAGTCAGAATTTTAATTAAAGCGAAGTTGATTAAATACAGGGTCGTACCGCACATCGAATTTGTTGAAATATAACTCTTTCTCGTCTGATCTATTATTCATTCATGCGTGCTGTTGTGACCGTGATATTTTTTGTTTTGTGTACCTGGCAACTTTGATACATAATTAGTTTGTTAATGTTCTTCATGGCTTCGCTCCTGCCTGTCATTGTGTTAAATAAGAAATATATAGTGGAAGAATTTAAATCTTTGTGAAAGAATATAGAATGTGTCAGTTAAGAGAATTGATACTTGACGTGCATCGCTTTCTCAAAATAGAATGGAAAGAACATTTGCTACAAACAAATGCCACGTCTCAATCAGTTTCGAGACGCTCGCACTTCGTCACTTGCAAGTATCCCATTTCAAAGAAATGGAATTATATTTTTAAGTCGTTGTGAATCAACAATGGGGATCAGTAAAACACCAACGTAGTTAAAAAATTTAAGATAAGAGACATTCGATCTAACAGTTATTTACTGCATAGAATTAAAAGTGCTTGCATCTTTGAATTTGCTTAAAGATCGCCTGCGACTGGAGAAATTTTTTTATTGAGTAGCGAAACAGTATTATTGATATTGGAAACATTTTAGGTACAGTGCGCAAAATAAAAAACGACATCCATGAATAACTTTGGATCTAAGGATCGAAACTTTACGTTCTAGGACTCGTTCTTAATGGTTCGAGGGTGTGACCTCAAATATGCTAATCAATTAATGCAGACGATATTTTAAGTTACGAAATCAGACACAAAACGTACTTTTTTTGAATAAATATACCTTTTTTTTAACGGATAATTTTTTACCCCCAAAAATATGGTTCCAATAGTATGGTCAGGGGAACCGTCCAAAGTTTGGACCTCTTAAGGTTAATTTTACTTTTTGCGCTTTTTGCTGAATCTCGAGACCTTCTTTATCGAATTTCAAAAAAGTAGTATTTATTAAAATTATGTAAAAAATTGTATACCTGGCGATTCAAAAATTTTTCGACTATTTGTAAATAAAATAAAAAAATTAATAAATACTAGGAGGCTTCGCCCCCTGCTCGCTGGCGCTCGCCAACCCCCGGAACTGCTTTCGCAGCTCATTTCAGATTGCTTCGCAATCCGATGCTCGCTCATTGGATACGTTCTTAACGTCTAGCTTTTGTATACTTTTTTGAACACTGAAGTTCCGAAAACTTTTCACTGTAGAAAATTCTAAACCTGTGCATTTCAATATTAATTTGAAATTGCAAACAATTCACATATTTTTCTTAATCACACTATTCTTTCTAAATTTCAGTTGTTGAGAAAAGTAACTGTTGTAAGTTTTGTTTTAAAGTCTTTCTCACCAGAGGGCTAAAACCATGTGTTGTAAAACAATATGAAACAGTACTGAATGCCGGATGTAAAGCATCGGCTTCGATGAAGATAATTTTTTGAGAATTTTTTTGATAATTCGGTGAGAATTCACCCGATTAGACATATGATGCTCACTACGTGCTCTTGCGCGCCGAAGCCTATCAATTAAAAATGAAAACTGTTGCCAATGTGAGAAAAGAAATATCATCGGTTTTATTGATACATACGTATTAGCGTTTTATATAATCTAGATAGATTTATTAAAAGTTATTTTTGCTTAGAATTGTCTTTCTTTGGGTAAATGAATTTTATAATAGTGAGCAAAAAGTTATCGATTCGCTTTTGAATTTCTCGAAATATGTTGCAATACGCGAAAAGTAAAATTAACATTAAGGGATTCAAACTTTGGAACACTCTCCTGACCATCAAACTATTGGAATGATATTTTCCAGATTGCGGTTTGGGAGTCAGAAATCCGAATCCGTTGAAAAAAAGGCATGTTTATTCACATAAAGTACGTTTTTGTGTCTGATTTCGTAACTTAAAATATCGTCTGCATTAATTTATTAGCATATTTAAGGTATACCCTCACACCATTAAAATTGAGTCCTAGAACGTAAAGATTCGGAACGTGAAGAGGGTAGTCCGTTTATTTCTTGGCGCACTGTACATCACATCATCGTTTATAATTTTGCATCACCTTATGGGACAATTTATGATTCTACAAAGTTTTTTTTTCCCGCTATGTGTATTGATTTACAGTCACGAGAAAAGCTTCCTCAGGAAGCGTTACGTGAAAATGGCAAAAAAGAAATGGTAGTAAAACTATTTCTTTCCTAATTTGTTTCCAATTGGAGTAAAAAAAATAGCGCGTCTCTCTTTAATTTGTAATTGATAAATACTATGTACAGGATTGTATTTGTTTTCAACAATAGTTTGAACAGGTTGTAGTTAAGAAAATAAAAACCGCACGCAATGCTGTTTGTGCCTTGGAAAAAAGAAAGAAAAGCTTGTAATAAAATCACTTCCTAATTAACTTGTTTTCAGGCAAAATAAACCCTGGATTCCAAGAATTACCCAAAGCGGGAAAGAGGAGACAGTTTAAAAAACTGATATTCGAACTATTATGAGTCACTCGGAGCTTCTTTAATAAAAGTATAGAGACAATTTTTAAAAGTTTCTGTTCTAAACAAAGTTAATTCGAAATAAAAAATAGTAAATTTTATTGTTCATTTGGGGTAAAATTTACTTTTATTATACTTAAGTAGCGAAAATGCTTCTTTTCTTAGTTTGTCGGTTGCTCTTTTTAAAAGTAGGCTGGTGTATGTGCCTATTGTTCCCATAAATGTCCTTTTTTAAATAAAAATGTTGTCCTGACCATTTATTAAGGCTTTTATTATGAGACCTTTATTTTTTTCTCGAAATGCCCACCGATGAGTTAACCCTCGTCTTTCAGGTAGGGTAGATTTATTGGCCACTCTTTCAGAGGCACCCTATTAGGTGGGTCAGCGTAGTTCACACAGTGAGGACAGATAGCACAGAGAATGAAAGAACATCCATGCCTTGTCAGGAATTCGAACCCAGGAGTTTTCTGATATGAGGTCCGCTACACAGTCGGATCGGAGACCTTTTATTGTAAATTCGATAAATCTTAGACTTAAGTAGTAAAACCTTAACCCTTTCGCGCCGACTGTCACAAATACGTGACAGCAAAAAATCGTATCAATCAGGGTGAAAAGATAAAACTGGTAATCAAAGTATTTCTTTAGCAGTTTATTTGTGGGCGGAGTTATAATTTTGTGATTTATTTAATTCACCATTACTTTGTTCAAAATAAAACTATTTAGTTATACTTTGAATTAACATCGATTATATATATGATTAAACTAACAATAATTAAAGTAAAAGCAAAGTAAGTCTGTCAAATTAGTAACGACTACATTTAAGTTACCGTTTTTTATTTAATTGCAACTTGATTCTGATTTTGTACGAATGCTTTTCTGAATCACCCGTCCCCAAGGGGTTAAACAATCAATACAGTTTGTAAACCTTTTAAACTATAACAGACCTTATTGTTTTATTTTTGTATGATGAAGTTTATCGCTTGTAAATTCTTATACTTCTTTCAAAATTGCAGGTTTGTTTTTTATCTTACCTTGTACAGACAATTATTGCAAAGTAGATCTGAGGACTGTATCTTTCAATGTACCTCCTCAAGAAGTAAGAACTCTTTATTTTGTTGTTGCTAGCAAGTAAATTCTTTCCTTTTATTTAATTTTTTTAAATGTTTAAAGTGTGAGAACATTCCATTTTCTCTCTCAGCGGGTACTTTTCTCGGTTTCAGGCGAATTTTCTAGTTGTTTAATAGTTCTTTTTCGAAATCAATTGAACGGTGAGAATCAGAAAACGTGCTTACCCCGTTTTGTCCCGAATTTAGATATTGAAATGATACAAAAAGTGGTTTTATGGAAAAAGTGGTATAATATATTATCGAAATTAATTGGTTTTTCTACTGTTAGGGCATTCAAAAAGTACTTGCTTCTTATAATTCTAGATCTAATCAGAAATAGTTAAATCATTGTGGTATCTGGGAATGTTTTAACCCGTTTCGTCCCGAAGTTATAAATTGAAATGATACAAAAAGTGGTTTTATGGAAAAGGTGGTATAATATATTATCGAAATTAATTGTTTTTTCTACTGTTAGGGCACTCAAAAAGTCTTTGATAGATCAAAAAGTACTTGCTCCTTGTAATTCTAGATCTAGTGAGAAATAACTAAATCATTGTGGTATTTGAGAATCTTTTAATTCACTCAGATAAATGAAAATGCTGAAAAAAGTTTCCCACCACAATGAATGTGTTTGCAAAAAGGAACTGTCTTAAATATATGACGCTGGGCGTTAACCGGTTGATGTCAACATTTCAATCTTTAAGCTTGGCATACCTATCACGAGCGTTTATTTCAGCTATGGTACCCTCTTTTACACAGCACAAATATCACGAGCAGCACGAAAAAGGAAAAGCTGGTAGTAAAACCTCGGCTGCAGATGCCGAGATTGTGCTTGCGTCGTAAACTCTTAAAGTGTTATAAAGGGTTGTTTAAATTAAACAAAACACTAGTATATAATCAAAATTTAATTGACTTTTCCCTATATATTTCTTGGAAAACACTTTTTTTTTGAAAAGCGTATAGGTTGGCAAGTATGCACTTGTTTCGCTTCTATCAAATGTTTTGTAAAATGGTAAAGAAGCAAAGACTAAAGTTTGCTGAGTTTCGTTCATTTAGGCAAACATTTTAAAAACCTGACTGAGTGCTTAAACAAAGTGACATTTTACGAACATGATTGAAATATTTTCATGTAGTGGTAAAAGTAGCTATACCAAATTTATTAAATCGAGAATCTTGCTCTGATACGAGGCTCCCACGGGTGACTTCAAATGAAAAATGTGGCGATTAATAAATTTCACGAAATCGAAATTAGCACCCATTCCTAGCATATTTTTTTCAGTTTACTATTGAGAGTAAAATTTCAATAATCAAAACAGTATCGATTTAAATATAGGAACAATTGGAAACTTAAGTCATTGTGCTAGATACGATTGAATAAGTGAAGAGATTATAAATAAATAAAAAAAGAATTGAGTTTCTATCACTTTTTAAATTTTTTGTCGTCCGTAATATCCCTGACTGATTTGAAACATTTATTTAAAAATACAATTCATTTTTTTCACTAAGCGGAGCAAGACGTCTGCTCTGTCGTTATTAATGTAACACCTTAGTTACAACAAGAAGATTATTTTCTGAAGCTACGGATATTCCGTAGCAGATGAAGGACATGCATACCTGCCAACTCTTCCGGATTTTCCGGAAGATTTTATTTTCATATTTAAAGTGGTAGCATATTTATTCTATTTTTTCTTTTATAAACTTAATTTTTAAATGATTTTGATCAACACTATTCTTACAAAAACTAAGCACATATATTAATATGCGTTACTATCATGGTTGTCAACTTAAGTTTTCTAAAATACAACCAGACCTGCCAACTTTGAATCCCTTCCATTATCATTTTTCCCAGTGGTATTAAAATGGAATTAAAACTTCAATTTCAAGCAAACAAATACGTTGTATTTGAAAAAAATTAAGTTGACAACCATGGTAGTAACGCATATTAATGTATAAGCTTAATTTTTGTAAGAATAGTGGTGATCAAAATCATTTAAAAATTAAATTTATAAAAGAAAAAATAGTATATATTTACTACCACTTCAAATATGAAAATAAAATCTCCCGCAAAATCCGGGAGAGTTGGCAGGTATGTACAACGTATTTGTTTGCCTAAAATTGAAGTTTTAATTTCATTTTAATACCACTGGGAAAAATGATAATGGAAGGTATTAAAAGTTGGCAGGTACGGACATGTCATTTTTATTGCTGAACGTAAGCAGAAATGTAAGGCTTTTTTCTGCTTTTAATATAATGCTCTCTATCTCATTTTTTTCTTCTCAGTGCCTTATTACTGTTTCACAATGAAGCTTGCTATAAAGTTTTTTTCGTTTCTTATTATCTTTAATCAGTTTTCAATGTTCTTTTCTGATTTTTATATAGGTACTTAGTAAAGACTCTGTCACTGTATCGGTAGACGCTGTTGTTTATTATAGAATCAGTAACGCAACAATTGCTATATCCAATGTGGCCAACTATGATTCGTCAACACAACTGCTGGCGGCGACGACGCTCAGAACTGTCCTCGGCACAAAGAGCCTCTCTGAGATTTTATCCGAGAGGGAACACATTAGTCACGTGATGCAGGTAAGGCACATCATATTTTTTTATTTATTAAGAAAACAATTTCGTTTAGAATTAAAAGCTTGATTTCTGAGCATAAAATATCAGGGAACCCAGAGGTGAGTGTGCAGCAAAATCAAGCACAGAATCCCGAGTTTGCCAGTCTGCGCATATTAGTCGTGTTTTTTAGGTAAATGTGAAGACGTAGCCGTAAAAAACAAAAGTATTCAGTTAAAAATCGCTTCAATACTGAGCTGTAATGGCTTAGGGTATAGAGTGCTGACCTTCCAATGAGGTGAATCGGGTGCGAATTCCAGTGATGGCTGCTCGATACGAATTCCGCATCCGGCTTGCACCGACCACAGTGCTAGCGTAAAATATCCTCAGTGGTAGACGGATCATGGGTTAGAGTCCCCCTGCTGTCAGGCTATGTGGAAATGAGGGTTAATTCCATCAGAAAGTCCTCCTCTAAAGCAAATTTCTTCCATTACTTGATCGAGAAGTTCCCTTGTCTTCTGGATTGGTCCCAAATGACAAAGCTACAGAGTTGAACATTAGTAGTCTTGAAGCGAAAAAATGGGGTCAGCTCAGGGCCGGATTTAAGCTTGGTGGGGCCCTAAGCTACTGAAAATGATGGGGCCCTTATAAGTTAAATTCCATTTCCATACACCTAAAGTAAATTGTCATTATTTTTTATTGTTGAGTATTATTATATTATTAAACAATTTGATAATATTACTTTATTGTTAAATATATTAATTGTGACAAGACTATTATGTAGAACTTTTCTTTTATTGCACATATTTTTTGAACGAGGGAAAAAAATTACAAAAGAAACACATTTTAAGCACAGAGTAAAAATTTGGCGTGCTGGGCCACTATATATTTAGCAGTCTTTTTCTTAGATTCATTTTGAATATATTTTATTTGCAATTTTTAATGATTTTTTCGTGAATTTTTTTCTCAATTGTTTTTTCTTACAAAATCTATAAGATTTAGAAACAAGAAATTTTGAAAGTGCGTAGAAAATATGCAAAGAGTTAGAAAGAAAACAAGAAAATACAATTTGATTATTAGTTTTTCTTTTTTTTATATAACCACCGTTGAACAACCGACCCAATTTCGAGTTACGACTACTAATATTCAACTTCGTGGCCTTGTAATTTTGAAACCAATCCAGAAGACAAGGGAACTGCCAGATTAGTACCCATAGGTATTTATTTGTTATGAGAACTTGGAGGACTTTGTGACCCCGACAGATGTAACATGCACCAGTCACCATTTTATACATGAGTATTCTTCTGCCTGCTGGATTCGAACCCCCATTCTCACAAACACGAGTCCAACGCCCTATCAGCCAGGCTATCCCGGCCAAATTTATTAGTTTATTTCATAACCATCGTTGAACAGTCGACCCAATTTCGAGTTTACGATTACTAATATTCAACTCCGTAGCTTTGTCATTTTGAACCCAATCCAGCTGTCCCTGGAGCAGGTGAGGGCCGTTGTATTAATTCTGTTTGTAAAAATAAAAAGAGCTGATATTATCGTAAGCTGATATTATTTAATTGATGTTTATATTGAAAATATTTCTTCATTATTTTTGCTTTCTTTTTAATTATTTTAAGTACATTTGTTAAATTTTAGTGCAAGAAAAAAAATGTCATTATTTATGTAAATTTTTGGCTTATATTTTTAGGGATTTATTAAAGGGTTTATTAAATATCAGAGAGAATAAATGGCATACGAGTTTAAAGTATCAGCTCAGCTCTTGATGGTGTATAGTGGCTAGGATGTGAAAGAGCAACAGTCCCGGGCATCCAATCAAAACGAGCATTCAACATATCAATGGAACACACTAAAGCTTTATATCAATTAGCAATTAGCTTTAGATAATTGCAATTGTAGAATAATTATCTTATTATAGAATGAAATGTTTTAAAAGACAAATATCTTTTAATGTTTAACATTTAATCAACAAAAAAACCGAACCAATATTGAAATCTAACGAATTTATTAATTTTAATTACTGATAAAGAGGACAGAAAAAAAAATTAAAGCCTGATAGATTTCAGAATTTTAGAAACATCTTCTAGTTATACTATTCAATCAAATAGGTTTCGATGTCTTTCATCCCGGTCTCATAAGTGATTCAACATATTTCGATATCATTTTTGTTTTGTTCTTACTTAATATTAATTTGTTTGCGACAGTTAATTTGTATACCTCTTTTACTACATTTTTGAGGAGTTTAAAAATATAATATTGAGGATTTTAACTTTTTTGTATGCCTCTTTTATTACGTCATCATCACACCCACACGCAACTGTCTACTCTGAATAATGCTATATAGAATGAGATAGTAAAACAAACGTGTGTAGTTATTTAAATTCTTATTCAAAAGTATTAGTTAAATTTTTTTTTTTTTTTGAACTGACTATTTCTGTTCTTTTTTAGATATTCTAGATCTGTCCTGTTTAAAACTGCTGCATATCACATGAAAGCATTAAATATATCATTTGTACAATTTTAAAGTAAAATAAAGGTGAATTCTGATCTTTAGAAACAGATATTAAATAGTCTGATGATCGAATGATAGGCAAAAAAATACTTTTTTACCTTTTAAACTAAGAAATTGTTTATTTATAAATAATTTATTAATACTCAAATTGTTTGAAACATATGTTCCTTACTAATGACAACGAAGTTTTTTGTTTTATTCAGTCATTTATTTATATTTATTATGTCCGACAATGTAAAAAAGAAAAAAAATGCATTTTGGGCTTCTGCAGGTCCCAGCTCCGAATAAAACTTTAAAAAAAGAGGGAGGAGAGTAGGATCTGGGGGCCCTTATTGTCATCTCGGGGCCCCAAGCTACAGCTTATTTAGCTTATACGTAAATCCGGCCTTGGGTCACCTGTTCAACGACGGTATAAAATTATAAAAAACTCTTCATCTAGAGGATGGAGGATAAGAAATGTCGGCATTTTATAGAAAGTTTAGTCATTGTATAGAATGAATGACATTTTTAGACAAAATACAAAAATTGAGAATAGTTCTACATTTTGCCTCGCCACTGTATAAAATGGGCTATCCATAAAATGACAAATGCTCTTTAAGCAAAGTATGAAATATGAGAATAAGCATATCTCATTGCATCTGAGGTTTTGTCATTCTATAGAATGCCTGAGCAATACGTGGAATATCAATAATTTTGTAATTTTCCAGTATGTCATTCTGTTGAATGCCTAGGCAATGTATAGATCACTGTTGTAGTTAAAGAAGAAAACATGAACAGTAATGTTTTGTGTGCAGTTAGTAGTTTTGTAATTAGATGTCTGTGAGTTGACATTTGAACAGTCGTCATGCAACAATCGTGGTCAAATGATGTTAAAGGAACTAGTAAAATACAAAACTATAAAAAATCTCCCATTTAAATTTGTTTTATTGGAAAAATTCAAATCTTTTTTTGACTTTTCACCAAAAAATTAAAATTTTTCGATTTTTAAATATTTGTTGAATAAACAAACATCAATCTTAAGAAGTAAACCTATCGTTCTTCTTGGATCCTGCTAAATACTATTTCCGAACTGGTTACATTTTAGACCAAAAATTTGATTTGTTTTATCGCTGATAAAATTTAGCTGAAGAAAAAACTATTTAGGAATAATTCATATTAAAAAATAGGTGTTTTTGAGGTTGACAGATGTAAAGAAATACTCCTGAGGTAGAAAATGAGGTTGTGTTTTGCACCAAAGATAACCTTATTAATAAAGCCCAATTTCATCCTCATTTACACCTCACCAAATCAACCTCATATGTGACTAAGAAATAATTTAAGTTTAGATCGGGTGAAATTATTCACACCTTAATTATACACATTTGCTTGAAGTGTAGAAAAAGTAATCCATCCACCTCAAAAACAACCTCTCTAAGCTGGTTTCTCTAAAGTAGATTTCCAACATCCTCAAGTTTGATGAGTACAACTTCATACACTTTGATTATCCACCTTGGGAGGTTGATCTTTTAAGGTTGTTTTTTTTTTAAAAATCAACTTCGAATAAACCTCAAATCTTGACATTTCAAAACAACCTCATATAAACCTCAAAAATAATTTGAATTTTTGGAAGGGAATCCCTGTTTTCTTTTGATGCAATTTTAGAATCGCCTCCGGAAAGGGGACATGTGATCAAATGGGATTAATAAGCTATTAAAAAGAACTAAGAATGCAAAGAATTAAAAGGAAACTTTCTGATTTCTGGAATTTTTTAGTTAAAATATCAAATGAAAGCGGCAGACGAAGTGAATATTAGCAACTAAAATACTTTCTATGCAGTAAAAGTTTCTTTTGAAGAAAAAAATAATTTCAACACAAAATTGAAAGAGCAGATGCCCGGGAAATAGCCTTTTATCACGTGAGTGGTCATCGATTTCTGGACATAAATACCTTTACATGTCACCCGACATTGAGACATGATCTCGTCGAAATTACAGTTCCATTAATTGTTGCAAAAGCCCTTTTATTACCTGCCCTGTAAGTTATAAATGAAGTTCTTGAATTATCTGTCTGTGTCATGGCGCCGACGTAAGTTATCGTTTAGCTGTGCGATGAAGTCATTATTTTCTCTGACATCTTATCAAAGTTATCTGATTTCTTCATAAAGTGCTAGGTTATCACAAATAAATGATTGAATTTTAAATGTTACGTCGGCGAGCTTTTTAATCGGGAAACAGTTTAAAATGCGTTTTTATAAATACGGACACGGAATTTAATATTCAATTCTTTTTTTCAAATTTTTCTTATGAAAATATTTTTTGTTGTTGTTATTATTTTTAAAATATTAAACTAGTGGATCTAAATACAATATAACTGCGATATCATCCATTATCTTTATCGCTTATAATTTTATTTTAAAATTATTCTGTTTTGAAAAGATATTATAAAAGTAAACTGATTTCTTCATAAATTACTGGGTTATCACAAATAAATGACTGCAATACTTAATACTTGACTCTCCCAATTCCAGGAGTTCCCTTGTCTTCTGAATTTTGTTCGAAATTGCAAGGCTACGGTGTTGAACATTGTAGTTGTAATCCCAAAATTGGATCGGCAGTTCAACAACGGTTATAAAACTCTATAATAATAAACTTGTTTCTGTCGAACATTTTACATTAAAATATAATAATAATAATAAATAAAATTGGTTAATAATGATCGGAAAAAGTTTAAATGTAAATGTTTTGCATTTGTTAAACTACATCAGCTAGCAATATAAAAATCCTAAATTTTTAAACGAATTTGCCCAATAATTCTCGAAAAATTTGAATATTTAGCCTTTTTTTATAGAAATGATAATTTTTAAAAATTGTTATTTCTCAGAAATGTTTCAACAAATTTGAATTTATTTTGACTTTAAAATACATTGAGTTTGAAATGCAGTCTTAGATGTTTTGGCAGAAAATGTAATAAGATACTTCTTAAGAGCATGGAGGAATAACGTGAACTGCAACTAACTTAGAATTCTATTCAATTAGTTGCAAGTTTTGTTTTAACTTCTTAAAAAATATCTTTTTGTACTTTATGCTACAAAATCTAGTCCTGCATTTTTTAGTTTTATGTCATGCGAACTAAATATTCATTATTTTGAGATATGCTTTTATATTTATACATCTTTTATATTTATAAAAAATTTCATAATCATCAGAATACATCATAAATGTCCCAAACTGGCATCTTCGGCTGGAAATAAATATTTTTAAGGTGATTAAAGAAAACATATTTATGTTAATTCACTAATTCACCGGTAATTTATATAATGATTCTAAATCACGCGATTTCATGACACAATGATTCTCAAAAATAACGAAATACAGCTCAAGGATTTTCGAATCGTCAAAAGTGGTAATTTTATTTCTAAAAGTGTTATTGGTAATACACAGAAATTTAAATGTACCCTAAATTTTTACTGTGAATTAAATTGAATCTTAATGGCTGTTGGTGCTTGAAGTTTAGATTTGTATTTCGCTCCCCGTATCTTTTGAGAACTACTTAATGAGTTTTGCAATTTGAATTCCACTTTTCTGAATATTTGCCTTTTATAATAACTAGAGCCCGGATTTTGATGACCTAAAAAATCTCAACTAATGCCCTTAAAAAGTGCAAAAAATGCCCTTAAAAAGGGCCAAAAATGCCCTTAAAAATGCAAAAATTGCGCAAAAATGCCTTAAATAAAGTAAAAATATTGAATCAAAAAAATATTTTGGTCTTTAAAATTATTATGAGTCATTTAAAAAATATAAAGCAATGCCATACTTGTTCTACGTTCATTAAAGTTTGAAAAATATGCTTTATATCCTAAAATAACAAAAAAAGGAAAATATATTGACACCAAAATATTTTTATTTTGTATAGAAACTTTAATGGATATAACAACTTCCATCTCATAATATTACTAAATATCAGAATTACATTGGATTATTAAATGTTTTTTGATAATTTGAAATGTAAACGAGCGTCTCTTGTCTGAAAGTAAATTTTCATTCCTGCAGAAGCTTCTTTCAACGTCTACTGATGTTATAGGTGCGTACTTGAAAAAGACGGTCTTACTTACTGACAATTCTTCTTCAATTTGAAAAGATTTTGCTTCACCTGTTAATATTCTATAGATTTTCTTCATTGTTTAGAAGTCAGTGTAATAATGAAAATTGATAAAAAATAGTAAAAATTGGAAAAAATTAACAAAAAACTTTAAAAAATGCATTGAAATGCAAAATACGCCCCAAAATTTAAGGAAAAATGCCCTATAAATCTAAAAAAATGCTCTAAAAGACAAAAAATGTCCAAAAATGCAAAAAATGCAAAAAAATGCAAATGTCATCAAAATCCGGGCCTTAATAATAACATTTCATAATGAACCCGATGTTATATCATGCTTTAAAAGCAATATTTGAAGAGAAAAAACTGTCTTGTTTTCAGGCCAGTTTAGATGAAGCTACAGCTCCCTGGGGTGTAAAGGTTGAACGTGTTGAAATGTAAGTACACATATTTTCATAAATATGTTATTCAGTATGTGACTCTATTGTATATTAAGGGAAGATTGCGGTGAATAAGCAACTAAATTTCACCGATTTATATTTATGTATAGTGTGCAAAACAGCATTAGATCAAATTTTATTCAGAAACATCCCAATAGCTTTCGATATAATGATTAAATTTTTCCTGTTGTAAGTCTCAACTTGGTACGTGACTGTCTCATCACCCTAAATATGCTAATTAATGAATGGAGACGATATTTTAAGTTTGGAACAACTTTCTTTTTCAATGAATATATTTTGTTGCTACTTAAAATATGGAAAGAAAATCTGTTGACAAAAATAGGCTTCAATATAATTTAGTCAACTTTAATTTCTTCCAAAAATAATTTTCCGAAAAAGGTAGAAAAATGTAAAGCTAACTATAGACAGATGCCTTTTATATATTTTGCATTACCTTCAAAAACGACTGATTGTTCAATATATTTTCATGTAGTGGTAGATAATTGAATTTATAAATGTACGAATAAAATAAAAAGCATTTACTTAAAATATAAAACTAATATCTAATGGAAAATCCAAAAGTATTGGCAGTTGTACCATCTTGTTCCTTGTAAACGGGAAAAATATTTTAGTGGTTGTAAAGTTTTTGTTTTTATATTTGTTTCTTGATTTTGTACATTTGATTAGAGCAATTTTTGTTATCGCTATATATAAATGATTAATACATATATACAAAATACCTTTTACAGAGACAACTGTTTCTCCGGATGCGGCAAAACATTTAAAAAATAAACTAAAATTTTAAGGTTTTAAGTTTATTTTGACATAATTTTTTTACAAAAAATTCACAAAAGCAGGACCCTGGTTGAAAGAATGTGCCTTAACGTTTATTTTATATTCAGAAATTACGAGTAATTTTTTCACAAAAACAGGACCTTTCACAAAATGTCCGGACTGACCCCTGGTACATTTTCAGAATTAACCAAATATCTGCATTACTTAATGTCTTATTTCCTTGAACTTTATAAGATCTTTTTTCCAAAAGATCTTATAAAGCAGTTGGCAGCTATGCAGATGTTGCCAATGAAGATCGGGAGAAATAATCGTCCTAGTTATTTTATTTATCAATTTTTATGCTTTTCTTGGTTTTAATATGTTTTAATATTGTTTGAACTTGGAAGTAGATCTTGAAAAAAAAGCAAATAAAATAAAAAAACAGTTTTTCGTTGCAGAGTTCTTATTTTTTCCCCCTTTATGTTTACAGCAAAGATGTTCGATTACCTCAACAAATGCAACGAGCTATGGCTGCTGAAGCCGAGGCATCAAGAGAAGCAAGGGCTAAAGTAAAGTTTTATTTCTTTTTTTTTTGGTGTTAACTCTCAACAAAGAAATCGATTATTTTTTTGTTTCGAAATTTCATTAATTGGTCACCGATCTCTATATCGCCAGTTCTGTCGATAATTTTTATTTGTATCTCCGATGGGTAACCTACGAGATACTGACGTCATAAACACGTCAAGTATATAAATTATTCCTGCATATTGTCTCCGAAATTGTTTTTAATTTAAAGCATTATTAAGTGACTTTTTCGTTGCTATGTTATCACAACTATCAACAATAAGCGTTTAATATTTTAAATTTTTGAAGTTCTAATATTGATATCAAATCTAGTATTCGAATGTCTTAATATTTGTGAGCAATCGTTTCAAAATAAATACTGTAATTTTCATAATTGTTATGTAGGCCTTTATTATCTGTTTATTCTATATTTTAACTTTTTTTATTTACTTGAAATTTTGCTTTGTTAGACCGAACGTTACACGACACACCTTAAAGTCCTTATGTTAGAATTAAATTCAGTATTTGTGTTGTTTAATTGTGAAAAATAAATAATAATTATTGAAATGAATAATAATAATTATTTAAGTATTAAGCAATTTTTCATTTATCTAATTTTTTTAGTTTTTATTTTAAAATTTTAACACTTCACTTTGTTAGATTAGAATTTCGTCGGGAATCTTTGAAATAAATAATAATTATTATTTAAGTATTAAGCACCAATTATTTATTTCTTTTTATATTTTTATTTTAAAATTTTAGCGCTCCGCTTTATTTGATTAGAACGTCGGGGAATCTTTTATTTTGGGTGCAGCTTAAAGTTTAAATATTAGATTTAAATTTATTGTTTGAATGTCAAATTTTGTGTAAATGCCTCGTAGCTACGAATTTTTAAAGATTACATAAATGAAATCCCAATCGCTTTGCTAGATCTCGTCGGGATATTTTTTCATTTTGGATAGCGCTTAATTTCTGCGTTTGAAACATAATATATAGATCAAAAAAGTGCTTTTTAAAAAAAGGGACCTAACTCAAAATTCATGCTTAAGAACATGGAAATTGCTTAAAAGCAGGTAGCTCAAAATTCTCGTTAATTAAAAGTAAGACAGCACAAAGTATATGAAGCTCAAAATGGTAGTTCATAAAATTAGACTGAGCGTTCGGAGAAATGCGCATTAATCTCAAAATGCGCAATAATAAGTATCCCAAAATGCGCATTAATAAAACGAAACATAACAGAAAAAAGTGCGTTTTATATGTTACATGATAAATACACATTTTATAAACTTACTCTTTAACAAGGCAGACCGAAAGTAACAAGTTAATTTTAAAGTTTTAATTTTGTAATGGCTTTGTTCAATTTCCTAAATAGTTGTGTCAATTCTCTTTAACTCACATTTTGAGAGCCGCGATGGCTTCGGAGATAGAGCATTCCAATGAAGTGAACCGGGGTTCGAACCCGGCGATGGCTGGTTGATACGAATTCCGCATTCCAGCTACTTTGTGGTCTTCCTCTCCATGTAACGCAAATGCGGGTTAGTTCCATCAAAAAGTCCTCCACGAAGGCAAAATTTCTCCCTATGCTTGATCCAGGAGTTGTCTTCTGGATTGAGTTCAAAATTACAAGGATACGGAGTTGAACATTAGTAGCCCAAAAATTGTGTCTGCTGTTCAACTACGTTTATAAAAAAAATCTCACATTTTGAGCTATGCCCATTTTTCCAAATACGCATATCAAACTATGTCCGTTTTATTAAGAACGTCTTTTAATCTATGTATATTTTTTCAAACGTCTCTAATCAAACTATGCCCAATCTTCTTAGGCATTTTGAGTTCAGACCGTTTTTTCAAATGTATTTATCAAGCTATGTCATTTTCTTATACATGCACTTTGAGCTATGTCTATAGTTTTTCAAACGTGTAGTTCAAGACATGTTTACCTTCTTAAACGCGCATTTTATATTACATCGTTCTTTTCAAATACGATTTTCCATTTTCTTAAAGCGCAATTTAAGCTATGATGTGATTCCACGATCTTTTATTCACATGCAATCCTTTGAAATACATTTTCCGTAACTACATATTTACTTGTATCATAAAATCCTATAAAACATGCCATTTTTCTGTTTCGAATTTATCTTTTGTTCTTCAAAATATTATAGTTTTATTAGAAAAAATTTACTTCGGATAACTGAACAATTTGCACTTGTCAGTAGTTTGGTAAAATAAATAATGTATAATTACATATTCAACTACTAACTATAATCTAAAATATTGATTATAATCTAATCTAAAATATCGATTATAATCTAATCTAAAATATCGATTATAATCTAATCTAAAATATCGATTATATTTCGGAACGGCGACGAATAATAATATCTTATAGATATATATGGAAGATAAATATATATTTATTAAACCTGTCATTGCCTGGCATTATGACGATGATTTTCCTTCTACTAGATTTATTCTGACTGAACATTTTTATTCGTTACCATGGTAACATGGCTTGTTGAAAACATCTGCCGCAAAAAAATATTTTTCCTTTTATAAAAATATCGTGTTCCAACTATAATGAAAAAGTTCTATACTATTAATAGCTTGACTTATTCCCTTTCCTGTGATTTCTATTTTATTTGGGAAAATCTATTTATCAGGTACGCTTTTAAAAAAAAAAAAAACAGAAATGCTTATTTCTTATGGAAATCTATGAAATTTATTTGCTTTTCTGTTATAAATACTTTTATAAATAAATTTATAAAAATAAAATAATTTTTCATTCGTTTCACTTAATAATATTTAAAATAAAGTATGGTATTAATTTCACTGTATAATGCGTGAATTATAGAAAATATTAAATAATTTTTTTATTTAATTTAGGAATTCCATATTTCTCGTACGCTTAGTTTAAAACCATATTGCTTATTTTTTAATGGAAATATTATATGGTTTTTATTTTCATATTTTTTATAATTATTTTTATAAATAAATTTATAAAAAATAAAAATGTTTTTTTTTTAGTTTCCTTTCATTACACATAAAATATATAAAGTACGAAATAAATTTCACTCTTAATTGTATGTGACACCCACCATTGTACCTGTCACTTTGCTTCCCTTTGCGCATGCACTGGATCTTAGTTTAAATGACGCTCTGCTAAATCTTGTTAAGTTTGCTTACACTGTAAGTTGTTTTTCTGGCATAGCTTACCAAACCGAGCAGTTCTTCGCGTTCATTTCGTATTCGAAGACCTGGACTTCTCCTTTGACTTAACTATATATCATAATTAACCCTTTCGCTCTGACTGTCACAAATACGAGACAGCATTAAACAGTATCAACCAGGGTAAAAAGATAAAACTGGTAATCAAAGTAATTCTTTAACTATAATTGTTTGATTTATTTAATTCACCACTACTTAGTTCAAAATAAAATTATTTATTTATACTTTGAACTAACATTGATTACCGTTTTATATTTTTTTTACATCCTGATTCTGATTTTGTACGAATGCTTTTTATGAATCAGCCGTCCCCAAGGGGTTAAGATTGCTGTTGATTTGGACATTTTTTAAAAATATTTGAATAAACCTTTATTTAAAGAATCATCTGTTTATGTTTTTAATGAATATGTTTATCATCAGGTGATTGCTGCCGAAGGTGAGCAAAAAGCTTCGAGAGCCCTCAAGGAAGCAGCCGATGTCATCTCAGACTCTCCCGGTGCCCTGCAACTCCGATACCTGCAGACACTGACATCTATCGCTGCAGAAAAGAATTCTACAGTTGTGTTCCCACTGCCCATGGAACTTCTCAGAGGAATGGGATTGAAATGAAATGAATTAAAGACGTTTACATAGATAAGAAGAAAGAACATTTCTTATGGGACATTTTGTACATTTTGCTTCATATTACGCTACAATTTTTTTTTAAATAGAAATTATTACCAATTTTAATAAACTATTTTTGCGTGAATCAGATGACAATTTATAATATGTTTGTAACGAGAAAATAATGTCTCTTAAAAAAAATTTTTTTTAGACAAATATTTTTTTCTTTTCTAAACTATCGTTTGTAATTAGAAATTTGCATAAATTGATTTGCCATATAAATTCAATAAACATAATTTGAAATTACTATAATTGTGAACACAGAAATGATCGGTAAGACTATTTATAAAAAAAAAAATTAAAGAATTACAATTAAATAGAATGAGTAAACGAAATTGAAATAGGAAAACAAAATGAAATAGAACAAAAGGAAAATGAATGCAATTTAGTGCAAACTCTGTGAAAAATTGTTTTACAAAACAAATTAAATATCGCGATATGGACTGATATATGATATACCATGGCGTAAGGCGATATACCATGGCCATATGGCGATATACCATGGTTATATCGCCTTATGAACTGATATTAATCTATAGTAAAATTTTTCTATTTTATCCACAGTAAAATTGTTTTGCATCATCAGAAAAGACGTAGCCTATATTTAGGTAACGCGCTGTTTGACTTGATTATCTACGAAATCATCAGTAGGTAACAGTGAAGAAATTTACAAATGAATGCCTCATCATACTGATTCCCATTATTTTGTTAATCAAGTTATCTTTAATATTTGTTAAGTTTGTTTTTAAATGAGATGCATCATTATTTTTAATGCCCACCTGAAATTGTATAATTTCTATCATAGTTTGTTTCACTAATTAATGTTGCATTGATTAGAGTATGAAAGATATGTATAGATTTAAGTTAGAATAATCAAACATGACTATACAAGGAATGATATAGAAAGAGATGGTTTTGGAATATAAGTATTTACTATTTTATATGCTGCCTTTATATATATGTCAAAAGATGTGTTATATTCTTTAAAGAAATAAATCTGCTTTGAACAAATGTGCTAATTTATTACTAACCCTAAATTGGTTAATTATATAAACATACCTGCCAACTCTTCCGGATTTTCCCGAAGATTTTATTTTCATATTTAAAGTGGTAGTAAATATATACTATTTTTTCTTTTATAAATTTAATTTTTAAATGATTTTGATCACCACTATTCTTACAAAAATTAAGCTTATATATTAATATGCGTTACTATCATGGTTGTCAACTAACTTTTTTTCAAATACAACGTAATTGTTTGCTTAAAATTGAAGTTTTAATTCCATTTTAATACCACGGGGAAAAATGATAATGGAAGGAATTAAAAGTTGGCACGTCCGATATAAACAATGGATAGAATATACTTTGTGCTATGTAGACTAATGCACAAGTTGTCCATTTATGTACTTTTGTAGTCTATTCTAGTTTGTAAGTAACACTTGATCGGTGGTTGGACTACAAATTGTAAAACTACTGTAGTCGCTGCTTTTTTTACGTAGTTTGTACTGTAGTGTGCTACTTTTTTTTAAAAAAAAAAGTATTGTAGTGATTCTGCTATGCAAAAAAAGAGCAGTTTGTAACGATTCCCGGTAACCACTTTTAAAGTTAGTTTAAAAAAGGAACATGGTTCATGACAAATTTTTCGAATTTGATGGGTTCAAAACTTAACGGGTTCGTTAATGGATGCAACGAAAATGACCCTGTAGTTGCAGTTGAGCGTTAACAAAATTTACTTTTTTAAAATCACGTATAAATAATATTTACACTAGCCATTTTTAAAAATGGATAATTATAATCACTTTGGTTACACTTGAACGCACACTCGGTAAACATTGATGATATTAAAAGTACGGAAACGTATTTTCGATGTACTTGATTTCTTAGAGGAAGTAAAAGAGTATTAAACAATTTGCAAGTATTTGATAATTTCGCATTTTTTAAATTAAATATTCGCTGTCGAAATTGGCATAAAAACCTGAAGGTTAAATGAACAAATAAATGTTTTAGCGCATGTAAACTTAAATAAATATTTCTTAATTATTCCCTTAAAAATTAATGTAAGCCAATTTCTTATTCCAAACCATTTTGAATATAGGCGTAAATTAAGTTCTCTATGAAATTTCGCCTCCTTAACTCTAGGTTTACGGACGTTTCTTATATACCTATCTCTAGGAACACACGTCAATTTGACGCATGAAAAAATACATATAACAGCACTTACAGAGGTGCCAACTTGTTCCAGATAGCAAATATATATTTTAAAGTGGTAGTCTATCAATTGTGATTCTTGGTTTAATATAGGGTTTCTTAACCTGTGGTTCATGGACCCCTAAGGGGTCCATGAGTCATATTTTGGGGGTCCGCTGACTACTCTTAATTTTTAAAATGTTTGGAAGCCTATACCCATTGCTTGTAAAGCGAGTTATGGCAGCTATAATTCCATTTGCTACGGTGAATCTTTGCGAAGGGGGATTTTCCACACTTGTGACAATANGATCTCTCAAAAAACTTTTATCAGAACTTAAGAATCTAGCCATATGGCCTGCACTTTTATAAGCAATAGTGGACAAGTTACGCTAAAATTAATTTTTTTAAAATATTAAGACCGTCTGAAAAGAAGATTTCTGAAACTACGGAAATTCCGTAGCAGTTGGAGGGTATGACAAATGATTTGTAAAATTTACTTTGTGCTTATTTACCGTTTTTTTCGCTGTCAAAAAAGGAATGAAAACTTGAAGGTTAAATGAAAAAATAAGTGTTTTAGCTCTTGTAAACATCAATAAATATTTATTAATTATTTCCTTATATTCAATGTTAGCCGATTCGATATTCCAAATCATTTTGAACATTGGTGTAAATTAAGTTCTCCCGCAAATCCTTGAAGCAGTGAAGTAGTTACTAAATTTCATTGTAGTCCCTACATTAAAAAAAAAAAAAATGTAGTTGTCGTTGTTGTAGTTAACTACATTTGTAACAAAGTAGTAAACTACAAAAATAATATAGTTTTTCTCCCCACGGTCACTAAATATTTGCAAGAAAGTTGTATTACGATAGCAAACAAAATTGTTTTGCGCAAAAACTTCTCTTTAAATTTATCTAGGGCTATAAAGTTATTGCGAGGTTTATTCAGTGTTCTGTTTTTGTTGATATTTTTTAAAGCTTTTCGTCAAAACTTGTAAGCATTAAAATTAAATTTTATTCAGTTTACTCAAAGGTAATGTGCTATTAAAATTTAGGTATTAACGAGACGTTCATCGCACGAAGCTTTCGTTCGAATTGTATATAACATATTCGTACCTAAAGAATATTAATCAGGGCTTCGATGTTTTTTGTAATGCTTTATTCTAGTGGTAACTAAGTTAATGTTTTAATGTATTTTTTTTAATAATTTTAACTTATTTTCCATACCATTACAAATGAATGATTTAAAATTCATATGCAACTCCATTTTCAACCATCTCTGCCGGGAGAAAGCTTTCAAAATGTTCGCAAAATTATCAAAATGCTTTGGTTTTTAAATGTCTACTACTCTAAAAAGTATTCCAAAAAAAAGTGTAGTAGTTGGCGGGCCTGATTTATTAATGAGGCCGATAGCACGCGACTGCGTATGAAAACAAACAGAATATTAATAAAATATAAATAATTGATTCGGTGACTGTGATGATATTCATTTTATTAGAGTGCTTAGTGCAAAGATGACAAAAGTCATATAATTTTTAGTTTTTATTAATTTCTTTTAAATTTTCATAAGGATGAATTTTTCTAAAAATCAAGACACTTCTACAGCACTTAAAATTATTGTTATCTAATAAAATTGCAATTGCCAACTTTAACACACATGTTTATGCTATTGCGTTTTCTTTTTAAATGTGTGGGTAAAAAATCATTAACAAAGATTTATGCAATAAATGTTGCTCTCAATATTTCGACGATAATGCAAATCAGCAGATAAGGAAACTGGTTCAGCGAATATGTAATTAGATGAATAGAAAAAAGTAATTTGGTATTGCTACCACCTTAGGTCATAATTAAAATTTAATGTTTTAAATCAATTTTATATAGTGTATCCTGGACCATGGGTGCAAGTCATCCGTCCCTCGAAAATGTCCGCGGAAGGAAGTAAGACGGAAACAAAACTGACTCGAAGACGGAAATCGGAATTTTTTTTTCTGCCCTTAAAAATATTTTTTAGTTCTACGTTATTGGTCTACTTTCTTATGTCGTGTTGTTATTTTATCAAAAGACAGATGAATAAATATTTTTTGTACAGTATTTAAACTTGATGTATTATGGTAAAAATTTCTTAGATAGTTTGCATATGTCGAGGGGGTATTGTGTATGTTAGGTATTTCAGTCAAAAAATTTTCAGTCTTGGCCTTTTTTCCAACTTGCACCCATGCCTGGAACTTTGTAAGTTTAATTAAAGCGTTTACAAGCCATTATGTTTGCTAGTTGATGCAACATCATACCTGCCAACTTTTAATCCTTTCCATTATAATTTTTCCCAGTGGTATTAAAATGGAATTAAAACTTCAATTTTAAGCAAACAAATACGTTGTATTTGAGAAAACTTAAGTTGACAGGCATGATAGTAACGCATATTTATATATCTGCTTAATTTTTGTAAGAATAGTGGTGATCAAAATCATTTAAAAATTGAATTTATAAAAGAAAAAAATAGTATATATTTACTACCACTTTAAATATGAAAATAAAATCTTCCGGAAAATCCGGAAGAGTTGGCAGTTATGCAACATATAAAAATGAATAGATCTTCCATTCTAAGCTTGTTTGTAATTGCATAAACACCAGTCTCAATGGAATTAGGCAAATGTAGTTAGTGTAATACTGCAATTTAATTAGGGATGCTATTTAATAAGATATTTTCATGTTAAATCATCAAAGCAAAAAGACGTAGAATTTTTTGTTAAATTTGATAAGACTTCAAAAAATCCTTGAAATATCCTAGGAAAAATAATAATAAAAAAACCACTTTGCGAATACTTAGAATAACTATTGTTCACTAATAAAATTGTAATTATTATTTTATTTAAATATATTTTCGTGTTAGCTTGTATGTAATTTACCTTTGTAAATTACCTGTTAATTAGGCAAATGTAATTAGGATGCTGGCTTGTAAAATACAACAATTGTATGCGGACAGCTATTTAATAGGATATTTTTATTATTAAATATAAAAATAAAAGTTGCAGAGTTTCTAGATAATTACGCTTAAGCTTGCTTTAATAAGGCCTGTGGGAAAGCAATTAAATCAAAAAAAAAATTTCTAAAAAAAAGGGAAAAAAAAGACCATTTTGCCAATACTTAAAATTATTTTTGCTAACCAATAAATTAAATTAATATGCATAACCGAATAAAACAGAACAGAAGTGGACTAAAAGTAAACTTCGTAAATCAATGACATTCGAAAAAAGAATTTTACGATACAAATTCAACTGTAGTAAAGATTGGAGTGGTTAGGTCGATGACTCAGTGGCCAAGGCAGTGGACTGATACTGTGAAGAACTGGGGTTCGAATCCCTGTGGATACCGGCTAATCTGGGAAGTAAAGACAGACTGTGCGTAATGCTGACCACATTGTCACAATCATGCCGTTGGTCACGAAATTGTGGAACCTTAGCCTCTACGCAACCTCTGGTCTACAATGGGCTGTTATGGGAATGCTGTACTTTAGAGACTGGAGACACCACATTGCTTCTGGAATGAATAGTTCTGATTGAAGTGCTGCGTCAATTTAAGTGAGAAAGTGACATGCAGAATGCATTGTGTATGCTAGCATAACATAAGTGTCAGCTATGCAAAATAGTTTTCATATATCCAATTATGTTTCAGAGTGGCCGGGATTGTCCGGTTGCCAGGACGTTGAGGTCATATTTAAGAGGTCGTGGGTTTGATCCTCTCAGACCGATAACTTCCCGTGTCGTAAATGGTGACTGGTGCACGTTAAATCTGTTGGTTCACTAAGACATCCATGTTCCCATAATAAGTTA